CTCTGATATACACAGGACTATGATCTTACACAATACCTTGCTTGGCACAGATAAAAATGTGATACCATGCCTGTTATTACAATCACTGAGAGCATCTTTCTGTGGTATCTTCACTATAACCCCATTGGTCCACTCATCTGGCACTTTTTCCCTTTCCCAGCCTGATGTGAATAGAGGGGCCAGGATAGATGCTACTAACTCAGGATTTACCTTGAACAATTCTGCATTCAAGTTTTCCTTGCCAGGAGCTTTCCCATTTTTTAAGGATTTGATGGCATGGATGATCTCTTCCTTAGTTGGGGTGTGTGTGTTGATATCAAGATCTTCTTCTGCCTTCCAGATGTTTGCTTCCTCTTTAGGTGGCTCCCTGTTCAGCAGTTCTTTGACGTGCTCTGTCCAGCATATTTCTTGTTCTTTTTCTGTTGTCAGTGGGTGGCCTTGTTTGTCCTTAATGAGTGTGTTTGTTGGTGTCTGCCGTTTGCACTGATAAGTCGCATCATTTTTTTAGACAGTTCCTTGTTCACCATGGGTAGCTGCATCCTCTGCTTGTGTTGCCAGTTTATCAATATAATGTCGTTTGTCCACTCTCACAAGGTGTTTGACCTCCCGGTGTGCCCTGCTATACTGCTTGTGGTATTTGTCCTTTAGCTTCTGGGATTTTGTGTCTAAAACTTTTTTCTTCAGAGCTCGTCTGGTTTCTATGGCGTTCCATGTGCTGGGTGTAATCAATTCCTTCCTTCTCTTCTGCTTGTAGCCTAGACAAGCTTCACTGCTCTGTTTATAGATTATTATTTTGTCCCACTTCTTGTTGATCCCCTCATCTGTGTTCCCCTCCTCTTCATCGTCTGCAAGTGCCTGTAGCCTGTTCTTTAACTGCAAAACGAAGGCTTTCTGTATTTCAGGGACCTTTAACTTGTTAACGTGATAACGTCTATGTCCTTTGTTTGGGGGACCCACACTTCTCAGTTTTAGCTTGATGGAGGCTGTCACAAGGTGGTGGTCGCTGCCAACATCTGCACCCCTTCTCACTTTCACATCTGTCAGTGAGCGTCGCCATTTGCCATTTATCATCATATGGTCAATCTGGTGGTTATCTCCGCCATTTGGAGAACACCATGTCAGCCTGTAAATTTCACAATGTTGAAATAGGGTTCCGCCGATGACTAGGTCGATCATATTGCAGAGATCAACAAGTCTCTCTCCGTTTTCATTCATGGTGCCACATCCATGTCTTCCCATTGCTCTGGCATTGTTTGTGTTGTCCTTACCAACTTTGGCATTCGGGTCTCCCATGATGATAGTTAGGTTGTGGCGTGGTACTTTCTCTAACTCCGCCTGTAGTGTAAGGTAGAATTTGTCCTTTGCTTCTTCATCACTGTCATTTGTCGGAGCATAGCACTGGATGAGGGTGATATTATTGTGTTTCCCTTTCAGTCTGGCTCTCATAAATCTGCTGCTGATGGACTTCCATTCAAGCAGGGACCGCTCCACTCCCTTCTTCAAAAGGGCAGCAACATCCTCATGGTGTTGTCCATCATCCCGTGCAGAATACAGCAAAGTTTCTCCCGAGGCTATTATTAGTCTTCCTGATCCCATCCATCTGCTCTTGCTGACACCCAGGATGTGTAAGCTGTAGTGTCTCATCTTTGCTGTGACCTGAGCTAGCTTCCCTGTTTTGTACATTCCATCTATGTTCAAAAAAACAAGTTTGATTTTTGTCTTGATGTTGAGCACTTCAGTCTTCATGCCAGTGGCTTCCATTAATTAATTATATTACCCTCCTTTAAATATTTATTAATCGAGTCCCATTTCAGCCACTGCTTTATTTTGTTAATCCCTAACAAGTAGGGATTAGGATGAGACTGTCGTGGGGGATGGATTATCTCACATCTGCTACTGGAGGTTTCCTGCACCTTTCTCTGAAGCATCTGGTGCTGACCATTGTCCAAAACAGGGTACTGGGCTAGATGGATCCTGGGTCTGATCTAGTCTGGCAAGCCTTCTGTTCTTTTCATGAGCTACCAACATACCACATGTATCATACAATGCCTGATTAGTGTGTTTGGATGTGTATTGTATACTGTGGAGACCCAGATTAATACCAAGAGTTATTAATCTACCTTTTGAAAAACCTGAATAGCAACAGAATTTATAACTGTTTTGCATTAAGCAGCACTGACATTATACTAAATAACAGAAACAGAATGCTACCCAGTTACTCTGTTATATTTGCTAGACAGTTATGGGAGTTTGTGATCGGGGTCTTAGTGGGGAGCCAGCTGTGGTCACTCAACTAGGGTGAACTGTAAAGAATGGGGCAGACAATCCCCATAAAGCTGGTGGATATTCCAATACCTAGATTTACCAAGCCAGCATAAAACAGCTTCTTTATTACCTCACTGACTACTCAGAAGTTCTAACAACACAGTTCCCTTAAAGTAATCCAGCCTCAAGCCTCCATCCAGGTACCCATGTCAAATATGATGAAAATTTCTGTAAATCTTATTTCATCATATAAAAGAAATGTTCTACCAATCCAAAAGGATCGGACACATTACCTCCCAGGTTAATGAATGTTTCAGACCTTACCCAAAAATATGCTACTTCCAATTCTTATTAACTAAAATCTAAAGGTTTATTTATAAAAAGAAAGAAAGAAAGGTGAGAGTTAAAATTGGTTAAATGGAATCAATTATATACAGTAATGGCAAAGTTCTTGGTTCAGGCTTGTAGCAGTGATGGAATAAACTGCAGGTTCAAATCAAGTCTCTGGAGTACATCCACAGCTTGGAGAACAGGAGTACTTGTGGCACCTTAGAGACTAACAAGTTTATTAGAGCATAAGCTTTCGTAGGCTACAGCCCACTTCTTCGGATGCATAGAATGGAATCAATTATATACAGTAATGGCAAAGTTCTTGGTTCAGGCTTGTAGCAGTGA